CAGTTAGCTGACCAAGAGTTACAATCTGCCTTGTAGCATTATACGTCATAGCCGTGTCGGTATTTTAGATTTCCTTTCCTTTTCACGAGTTTAGAGAACTTTGTCCGATTTTTACACAATCACAGGAATACATAGAAACGAAGATGCTGATTGCATATGCCTATATGATTATTTGGAATCTGATCATACTACACGGGGCTCTTTCAAGCACCATGTATGAGTGCTCATCGATGTAAATAATACGGCACTATTCGATTTTCGAATGTGGTCGAAAAATGTCTTGTTTCTACATCGTTGAGAGTGAGATGTGCGACTTAAAATCAGTCAAATTGAGATATCGTTAAAGTAAAAAATCTAGGGAATTTATATACATGGTATGTTCGGCCCACCAACTTCCTGTGTTTTCTTTCATGTCAAGATTGTCCCCAATCGATCAAATTTCGTTTTCCCATACTGTACCAATTATGATCATAGTATTCGTGCAGCTATGAAATCGGTCAGAATATGGAGGATCGGCTGATGTGGTGTACCTAAAAACGATTGTGGAAAGGGAGGATCACATATAGGTATCTATCTTCAACCATTCATTCAATGCATGTGTAAAACTTTTCGTGAAAGTTGTTTTCGCAAAATTACTAAGTACAACATACCTGATTCAACTGGAATTTGATGCATGCGATGCTGAGTATAGAGCACGTACAGAAGAAAAATTATTAATATTGTTTCCAGAATCATGCTTCTAGAGGAAGCAGGTGCAGGTGAGCGTGTTAGTGATCGAACGTGGACTGTTTCGTTTTTCAATTTATATAGCAAGCCGTCAACGTTAAGCACAGGAACGAAAAACAAACAGTCGTGCTTTGTTGTCGTCAAGTCTTAATCAATGGCATCCTTTAGAAGAAACGAAAGAGAGGAAGAGAGGAAGGAAAAACCATCAACGATTTCAATGATCAATGATTATTTTTATTCATGTGGTTCACAAGTAACGCGCGTCGCTACAGCATGTTCGGTTCTATGTATTCCTGTGATTGTGTAAAAATCGGACAAAGTTCTCTAAACTCGTGAAAAGGAAAGGAAATCTAAAATACCGACACGGCTATGACGTATAATGCTACTAGGCAGATTGTAACTCTTGGTCAGCTAACTGCTGTCATTGAATATGCTGTTCGAATTAAGAGAGCTATGAATCAAGCACGTTCGCTGTTTTTCGAACGCTTATTCGTTTTTGTTCGCTGTTTCATAGAAGTCAATGTACCTATGACCATGATCAATACAGTACTTCATAAAAGTAGCGTAACTTAAGTAACGTCTAATTTAGTAATAACAGAAAAACTGAGAAAATTGAAAATTTTTTTGGTAAAACAGAAGATCGCCATCGAAATTCTGCCGTTGTTGTTTTTACTCAATATTTTCGATAAATTGTCAAAAGTCAAATCTAAAACACAATGTATTATTTTATTATTATGCAGGGTGTATGCTATTAAAAATTTGACTTCAGATACAACTCAAAATTACTTTCGAAATTGCGCTGGATTTTCGGAAGTTGTCGAAGCTCATTGTGAATACGACAGTGCGAAGCAAATCATATCGATTTTCGATAACTGTCGAAATTTTCTGCAACTTTTCTCTCTATATTCAACAATACTGCGAAAAATCCTTCAGAATTTGGACTGTCGAAATTCCAGGTGGCAACATTCTAGAATATCAAAATTTTAAATTGCATAAACACCCATCGTAACAAACCGCTCTCTCTTTCTCTCAATCTAGCACTTATAGTAGATTTTACAGACCATAACACCTGTTGAAACAACGTGGAGAGAAAACAATTTCATATTTAGCATTTTTTTATATAAAAAAAGAGCTCTGATATGTAAAATTGTCATGCTTAAAATTATTTACAATAAAAGAAAAGAATTAAACCGTTTTTCTGTTTATCGTTCTTCTTTCTGGCCAAACCACTCTTCACGTGTTCTTTTATTATCTTGAATAATTTTCATTGCTACACGTTCACTCACAAGAATAATATCATCGCATAATTGATTTAAATACTTGTACATTTGTTTACCATTAGATACAGCTGCCCATGCACACATAGCCGCTGTAAGAACGACACCAACAGCAATTAAGCTTATAGACAACGCACGAGCAGTATTTACTGCAACGGGTATAGCAGCTCGAAGAACATCATCCGCAACAGATGCACCGGCAACACCAACACCCACTGCACCTTTCGCAACAACTGATGATACATTTGTTACATTTTCCAAAATATCATCTCCATTTATTGGAAATATTAGTTTAAATGCTGATGTTTGCAAATCACTTCTATTAATACTTAATTTAAACTTTTCCAAATAATCTTTAAATTCATCCGTTTTATGAGTTATAAAATTTCTCAAACGTGCACGATCATTTACACCAAATACTTGACGAATTTCTTCTTCTCCCAAGTATCTTGATAATAAATTAGCAAATGGAACAACACTAATAATACCTGCTTGAATTTTATATTTTAGTATTGAAACAACATAACCACGACGAAAACAAGTATTAATAACTCGAGATGTTGCATATACTGCCATTCTTTCTAAACGTTTTTCATGTAAATTTAATGGAAGATTTTTCATGCGATCAATCAATTGATCAATATCAAATTTTGAGTACGACATTCTGGATAGATTTCTATTACGATTATTCATACGATAACTAGAAAATGTTAAAAATATCTCGTCTGATAATTTGTTTCCACTAATATCGCGACTCACAGTTGATCTTATTCGATTAATGATTTTGTCACGATATTTTTCTCGACGATTTTCACTCAACAAATCAAAATCTTTACCTTCTTCTTCAAATGCAGTCAAAAATAAATTATCTACTTTATTTCGTACAAGTAAACAAGTACGCTGTAGTTTTTGTTTAATATAATTTTGCCATTCTTTCAAACTATTCAACTATTTCATCATATAACATTAAGACTTTTTCGAAAATTTTAATCTGTTTTTCTTTTTCTTAAAATGAATGATATAATAAATAAATATTTGAATGATGAATACTTGTAAATAGATGATCAAATACAATAATATATACATCACAATCTGCGTTTTGTATTTCATCAAAATAATTTCCAGACTTTATATGTGTATCATTATCCGTTGAACCTTCTATGTCAACAAATGTGATTTTATTACCATTTGAATATTCATGTTCATATTCTAATGTACAATATGTACTTTTACCATCACGAATAGGAGAAAATAGTTTTATTGGAAATGTTTTTGTTGTTTCCTCTTCATTAATTTCTCTTAAACGATTTAATAATGAACTTTTACCTGAACTAATTTCACCAATAACACCTACTCTACATACTACATTTGGTATAATAGTTCGGTTAAGATCATGTTCAAGTGCTTTAAAAACATCAATTACTTTTGGTTCAAATTGCTCACTTGTACCTAATATATGTTCCCACTGTTTCATTATTCTATTTAATGATGGAAAATTCTTGTCACATTCAACTTGTTTATTATCTTCTAATAATAATTCACAAATTTCAATAAATTCTTTACCCGGTTGTTGTTTACTACCAGATAAAGCATTTAAATATTTTTTTAAACAAGCATTTGTTCGATTATTATCATTGTCTGTATCACTATCACTATCATCATTGTCGCCATTTCTTTGATTAATATCGTTTATAATTGCATTTAAATCATCAAGTAAAGTTTGTGCTCGTTGTAAATGTTGTTGCATTATTTTAGATATTTCTTTATCTAGATTAATTAATTTTGTTGCTATTGTTTGAATAAGTGACTGAATATGAACTGTACGACATAAAATATCATTTAATAATGTTTTTAATGTTGCATTCTTTAACTCTGATAATAAATCAATACTATATTTATTTAAAAATTGTTTCCATAATAAATCTGTTAAAAACTGATTCGGTTGTGGACCGTTTTGACTTTCATGACCACAATACATACAACGAAATGGTTTTTTACCATTATGTATATTTATTGATTGTACACATTTATGACAATATTGATAATCACAGTCTTGGTTTGTACATTCACATGTTATTTGATCAGGCGTTATACCAAATGAATTTAAACACAGAATACAAGAATCCCATATATAAAAAGAACAAATTATAAACAGTCAAAATATCTATGCACGAAAATATTTTAAAATAGCGATAAGTTTAGTATTTTTCCAAGACTGATTGCTTTGACCCCACTGCCTTCGATTCTAATGACAAACGATGCAGCATCTATCGTCTGCGTTTTTATTTAAAAGAGAATGGATTGAATCAATTGAAAAAAGAACAGTTAGAAAGTACGGGTTCTAGTATTTCCA